TGTCAGCCGCTCTAAGACTCCTTCGGGTAGTGAAGGGCAGGGTACAAATCCAATCTCTTCTTCTTCTTCTGCTCCTCAATGAATTCCTGTTGAATTTTACATTATTCTGAAATTTTACAAACTATTTTAATTTCAGAAAGCTTCTTTCCGATCTCCAGAAGTCTGTGGGGTTGATAGTCCCCCCCCCGAAAAAACATACCTTCTGTCTTGCCAGTAGATGGCTCTGCAGCATTATTATTATTTTTAACGAAAGCCAATTGCATCCTAACATTTCACTTCTGCAAAGCACTTTAACCGCAGGTCACTGTTCTTTTCAGTCCCACATTCGTGGTTGCATATTTGAATTTTGCTATTGCCAAAGTGATCTTAGGATCCTTATCCCTAAGCAAAGGAGACAGAGTTTCCTGGGCGTAAGGGGACGATTGATCAATTAGAGGCTTAATACAATGATTAGGTCCTGATAACGATGAATCTCTCAGCCCTGCTCGTCACAACAGAAAAAACTAAGGATGCCGTAATAAACAGTGGAGATTTATAGTTAGCTGAGTTTGCTACCCAGAGAAATTTTTATTCCATTGAACGCTTATTTAGAGGTTGATGGAGTTGGCGATTTTACTTATGTGAGGCCCAAAGGAGCCAGCGTAACAGATTATATTCTGGCTCCAATTGAGTATCTTTCCCACTTTAAACACTTAAAAGATGGCAATTTTATGGGAAGTGATAAATCTCCCAGACTTTTTTTCTACAGATTTCTCTTTGGAACACTGTTCTGTTCCAGCACAAAGCTTTTTTCTCTCCCAAAATCAAAATAATGTTTGTCAATTACACTGGAACGCTAATTCTAGTGATAAGGCTCAAACTGTAATGTATTCCATTCTTTGTAACACCTTCATCATTAGAGCTCTGCAGTCAGACTCAGTCTTCAACTGTTCAGACTGTAGAAGCATGAAGAGTAGAAGAGGTGTAATCAACAGAAGCGTCGCGAGTTTCAAAGCAACTGTACAATATCAGTTCTTTGAGAGTTGATGGAACTGAAGAAAATGTATAGAGAGCTGATTAAGATGAAGAGACGGATGGCTTTAAGTAAGAAATGGGGATGTCTCATTTCAGCTATTAACAGCAATGATAATGAGGAATTCTGGTCCACTGTCAACATTGCTATTAATCCAACTTTTTAAATCCTCTTGCTTTTTATCCTTTCATTAGAAGCTCTGGCAATTGCAATAAGGGCCAATAAGCAAATTCAAGGCCCAGAGATAAATAGACTTGTACATACAGTATGTTTGCAGATGATACAGCTGTATTAATGGTATATTAAATCTGTTTAGACCTCTCTATGTGAAAAAGAACCTTGATAGGCCATCTTTTGAAGCCAAGAGGAATCGCTGGTTTAACGGTGACTGTAGAAGCATGAAGTGTAGAAGAGGTGTAATCAACAGAAGCGTCGCGAGTTTCAAAGCAACTGTACAATATCAGTTCTTTGAGAGTTGATGGAACTGAAGAAAATGTATAGAGAGCTGATTAAGATGAAGAGACGGATGGCTTTAAGTAAGAAATGGGGATGTCTCATTTCAGCTATTAACAGCAATGATAATAAGGAATTCTGGTCCACTGTCAACATTGCTATTAATCCAACTTTTTAAATCCTCTTGCTTTTTATCCTTTCATTAGAAGCTCTGGCAATTGCAATAAGGGCCAATAAGCAAATTCAAGGCCCAGAGATAAATAGACTTGTACATACAGTATGTTTGCAGATGATACAGCTGTATTAATGGTAAATCCTAAAGAAGCATTACCTGAATTAATAAAGGAGATTTGTGGTTATGAAAGAATTGCAGGATTATGTATTAATTAAAAGAAGTTTGGAATACTATACACAAATATAAACCCAAAAATGCAACCTGAAATGGGAAATGAGTTAGGATTCTTCATACATCATAAATCATTCAAATATTTGGGAGTTGCTATCAAGAAAGAGGAGGAGGAGGAGATTGGATTTATACCCTTCCCTTCACTACCCAAAGGAGTCTCAGAGCAGCTCACAATCTCCTTTCCCCTCCCCTCCCCACAACAGACACCCTGTGAGGTAGGTGGGGCTGAGAGAGCGCTTCCAAGAACTGCCCTTGAGAGAACAGCTCTGACAGAACCTATGACTGACCCAAGGTCACACCAGCAGCTGCATGTGGAGGAGTGGGGAATCAAACCCGGTTCTCCCAGATTAGAGTCCGTGCACTTAATCACTACACCAAACCTGGCTCTCCATAAATAAACAACAGCAGCTAAACTTCCATCCGGTTATAAGAAGAGATATTAAAAGATGGTCCCAAGTTACGGTTGACAATCAAGGGTAGAATTAACACTATCAAAACGATGGCACTCCCAAAATTAAATTACTTTTTTTCAAACGTTTCCCATGTATCTCACATCAAGGGACCTAGCCTGCTGGCAAAAAATCTTTACCAGGGTTTTCTCGATCCTTGGCTCCTACCTGGTGGAACTCTTTACCAAGCAAGATCCGGGCCCTGCAAGACTTGATGCAATTCCGCAGGGCCTGCAAGACGGAACTGTTCCACCAAGCTTATGGGTGAGGACAAGGGACAGTTCCAGTAAAATCAATCTCCCTTCGCTGTGCGATATCTGCCCCCTTTCGGGACAAGGGGCACTACCCTGTGCTCCTTTTATGTGCCATCTTCTGATCTGTTTGGTTGTACTATAAAATGTATTTTAACGTTTAATATCTTCATTGTTCGATTATGTTGCTACCCACCCCGTCAGGGCTATTTTTGGGCAGGAACGCACAGGAACGGAGTTCCGGCTGGCTCCTGAGTTGGCCACGCCCAGCATGAATTCATTAGCATAATAGACCACACCTAACAGCAGAAACCCATTAGGATTGGCTACATTAGGGGTGTGTGGTTTAACATGCAAAGAAGTTCCTGCTACAAAAAATGCCCAGGGTTTTAACAAAGTAAACAAAATAAGAAGCAAAAGGTGAGTGTGGCAACATGGGGGTGTGGCCTAATATGCTAATGAGCTGTGATGTCAGGGGTGT